TCCTCGACTTCCTTTTGCCTAGCCTCCTGGGCCTTCGACAAGTCCTTTACTCTAGAAGTGGATTCAGTGGCAGCAGCCACTTGGCCATTGGCTTCCTCAATATCACGATTAATGAGTCTTTGACGATTGAAGTCTGCTGATACTTGCTCGACGATAGAAAGTAAATACAAGATTACACTAGCTACGTCTGGAGGGGCAACAAGAAGATCAACAACTTTCAAGATAGTCTTCAGATAGGAAGGCACTGCTGGTTCCCCCTCTAAAGTTAACGTCAAATCTCTTTTAAAGATTTGTGCTTTAACCTTTTGAAGAGCTTCATCGAGAGGGGAAGTCGAGGTACTACCAGATGCAGTCGAGGCGCTACGATCAGAGGAGCTCTCTCGACCCTCCAAGATTGCAGTCAAATAACCTAACAGATCTTGTTGCTTCAGTAAAGCCAAATCCTCTTTGGTTCTCGACCCAGTCGAAGGGGTGCTTGTGTTGGCTGCAATAACCACGTTAGGTACTTGAGTAGGAATTGCCTCAATACCTGGAGGATTTTGGTTTTATTCAGCAAGAGCTTCATCACCCTCAGCTTCTGGGATCTCCCCATGTTCCTCCTATGTCTCAACTTCGACCATAGGAATCCTAACCTCCTCTTGATTTCCTTCAGCTTCTTCTTCATCAGCTTCTTCTATGGTTTCACGCTGGGGTTCAGAAGTCTGATTCACTTCGTCAACTGAACTCACGAAAGAGTCTTTTGCCGAAGAAGGTCTGTAGGTAGGAATCCCGTCACTATTCAAGCAAGTGGTCGAATCCTCGACATGAGTAGGATTTTGTGTCGAAGTGCCAGCAGTGTCCTGAAAAATAGAAAGAATTTATTGCTTGTAAAAGTGTCACAAAGTAAGAGAGAGTGAGAAGTACATAACAAGCAGACGAAGTGGATACCTGTACTGGAATTTCAGCACCAGGACTAGAATTGTCACTTTCACTAGGATTGTTTAATCTGGCGATCATCTCCTGTTCAGTGGGTTCATTGATGATGATAGGAGGTAACCTCCCCGCCGTAGTTTTAATCCTAATTTTTGGACGGGTTTCGACAGCAGGAGTTGGTTTTTTCAATCTTCGTCTCTGCAAAGGAATAGGTGGAGACTCCTCTTCCTCATCGCTAGAGATTTGGATCTCTTGAACCTTCCGCTTTTTTGGAGTGGATTTCTAAGCGTATAACAAACCAAGGCGAGAAGGTCAATAACTACGTCAGATAAAACTAAGGGTAAAAAAAGAAAGGTAGGTACCTTAGGAGAGGGATTGATGGCAGAGTCTCCCCCTTTTGCACTCTCAGCAGTTTTCTTCGCAACCCGCTTGACAGCTAAACGAAAGGCAAAACAACTATGGTTAGTTAGGAGTTGGTAAAACAAATCTAAATCGAAGGGATGGAAAAAGGAATACCTTTTTTAACTCTGTCGAGAACCAGCTTGAATGCCTCACGCAGATGGTGGGCAAAGTCCTTCTCGTCAAAGAACTCTTCCTCATAATAGTGTCTCCACCACGTCTCATAAATGGTAGAGTTCAGAAAATGAAGGTTAAAATTGAATAGGGTCAGTGTAATTTGACCAGAATACCTACCAATATGCTTGGTAGCGGCATCCTCTGAGTAATCTGCATTATAAAAGAGTAGCAGTCTCTCTCGAGGGTATATAGGCGAAGGAAGCGATTGAGCAATGCCAAACTGTCGAGAGACAAGATTGGGTTGATAGGAAATCAAGCTCAATTGGTTATTCGAGCTCTTAAATCTTAAAGGCATGATCCTGGGGCGGAGAAACGCTTCCCACATGCTCACGAACTCATCCACCACGTCATCTTCTTCTGAAGGATATGGTCTAGTAAACCATTCCGGGCCAACTTTTCGACCAGTAAAAGGAGCCATAGTCGAATCAAAGCTTTTTCGCTCCGCAAACATCATTACGAAGCTTGTAAAGGCTTTTTGAAACTGTTGGCCTTCGTCAGTGGGAGTTAGCAATGCCAACCTGGTGCCTTCGACTCTCCTGTTTGAAATTTCAGGAGCTTCTTCATTGATCTTATTCTTTTGAGGGAGGAAGGATTCGAAGGTGGCGTTAAGCCACAATTACATAAGCCAGAAGGGACCAGATAGCAGCAAACTTCCTCTGTCCCCCAGAACCTTAAGTTGAGTCACACCATTACTGATGGACTCATATAAGTTGGCCAGAATCAATTCGACCAAGCAAAGAGGGTATTTGTGATGGAGCTGTGTTGCAAGCGTCAACATCTTTTTCGTCACCTGCAGTGATTTAGTGCAGAAAACGAATCGAGACAGCCACATGGCCAAGAAGGCTATGTGCTCCACCTCTGACACAGTATTTGAAGCCTTGTCATGAAAGTGGTTTATGAAGGTGGTATAAGTAGGTTTGGTAGAAGCAAACCCAATGGGATCCTCAGACAGGTCTTCAGGGTCGAAATAGTCACCAGTGGGTCGAAAACCAGTAATGGCAGCTATGTCGAACAAGGTAGGGGTCACCATCCCACAAGGCAGATGAAAGGTGAAATGTGCACTGTCCCAAAAGTACAATGAGGATACCAGCATAAGGGGGCAATAAGGTAACCCTGTCTTCGACAACATCACTAAGTCATAGATGCCCATCTCCTTCCAGATAGGAGCTTGCACCCTTTCCATTTTATTCAGCCAGTCGGAGTATTCAGAAGAAAGGTTAGGGCTTGATCGAAAGATGCGATTACCTTTATTCATGAACTGGAGGTTGATATCATCAGCAGTTTGAGGATTTTGCTGGTTAGCCGGTGTAGCATCTTCAGTATCTGCCCTAGGTTTTTTGGCACAACCTATGGGTTTAAGCCTTGGATGTGTAGGGAAAAAGGCATTGTTTTTTAAGGGATTTTCAGCACATGAAGACAATGGGCCGGACATAGCATACATCTTTCCGCCATATCTGACAGGAATAAGGAGTTGAGAGTCATAGGCTTCTCGCCCTTCTCCCATAGATTCAACAATGTACCTGTTAGTCGAGGAAGAAGAAGGGTTGATAGAAAAAATCTCTGGTGGTTTCTGAACATCATTGGCATTCTTTGGTTGTGGATTGTTTGGGGAATTAGAGAGAAAGGCCATTGTTAAAGATTTAAGAGAAAGAGCGAAGGTGACAATACAGTGTTGTGAGAATGCAAGGAGTTTGGAAAAGCTGAGAATGATAAAAGTTCTAAATGGAGAAGTTTGGAAGTATTTATAGCCTTCAGAAGTGGGAAATGTCTCGTCAAACGCATTGAATGTTTTGCAGGTAGTGGGGCACGTGGCGAGGCAGGAAACGATTACCGTGCAGGCGTTGGGAAACGTTGGGACATGCTTGCCTAGATTATAGGAACGAGGCCATCATATCAAGCGTGGTAACAACAGTTTTGAAGAGACATTTTGGAGAAAAGTAATGATGGTTTTATCAAATATAGCAGTCGTTAGAAGGTGAAAGGTACACGTCAAAGCCTGGTGGACAACTGGTAAGACAGGTGTCGAATGGGAAGTTCAAAGAATAGTTATTTCTTTGGGCGTCGAAATAGACATTCTTGGGGGGCAATTTGTTGGCTCCCAAATTCGACACTTGCTATATTTAGACTCCTTGACCAAACAACTGGAAATGAGCTACACCAGGAGATGTAATTCGACGCATGAGATAAATTAAGGAAAGGATCCAAGGTATAATAAGAAAGCTTCAATCAAATGCTCATTCGATCGAGGCAGATGCAGGTTGTTTCGACTGAAGGGAAGTGTTCGCGCCTTGGCACGTGGGACGAAGACCATTTTGAAATTTGAATTATTGGAGGGAAAGGTGGTTTTTATCAGCGTCTAAGGGAAGGAAACGTGGCAAAAGGCTATGGGTCGAGAGACATGCAGGAGACACTTGTCTTCATTTTAGCGCAGGATGTCCCCTCGACGGTTACCTATTTTTAGTATAAATTAAGAAGTTTGTGTAATTTTTAGTGTGTGCAACATATAGTACAAAATCTCTCAAATATTATCCAAGTAACTACTGCGTGAGAAAGGATAAAAAGCAGAGCAATGTACGTTAGAAACACCTTTTTTACTTAATGAAAGTCTTTTCACTTTACTTTACCATTATATTGCAAAGTTATCTTTTACTTCTTTTCACTTCTTTTACTTGCATTTTTATGTTTTCATTTACTGTTCAACAAACTTAAAACATCTCTCCCCTGGGTCGAACGTGCGTTCTTCCTTCTCACTCATTTTACATAAAGATTAGCATATGTTCTGGGATTAGTTTGGTCGATCCCGCAAGCAAACCAAAAACTTACCTTTTTTGGAGACTAGCGGTTGTTTACCAAAAACAACGGTAAACAGTACTGTAACCAAAATAGGTTTTGATTGATGACGTAAGACTCTAGAAGCGATTTTGTTGATCTCAGATATAATGGTGTGGAGTGGACCTACAAGGTTAACACTCCAATGTCCAAATTAGTTATAAAATCTAAGATGAGTGTAGAAATATGAAGATCAAAATATGTACCTTAAATCTCATATATGTTGACTATATACGTTACATAATTTTGATTTAGTTATACATAATTAGACCATTTCATTAGGTCTTTGGCCAACTCAAAACATTTATAAAAATAGAAAGAAAAAAAAGAAGTACATGTTAAAAATTAATGTTGAAAAAACCAAATTAAAAATTAAAAAGAAAATTTACACACAAATTTCAAAATAAAAATGTTAGATATAATTTCCATAAAGTTAAGCTACTAAGATTTTCCATAAAGTTAAGTCAAAAGTGTATTTTCTAAGTTAATCCAAGATTTAAGGCGTTAAAATCTTCAACGGTAGTATTATTGTTGTCATCACTATCATGTGATGCTAGAGTCGGAAACATATCATAACGGACAAAACCCATTTTTTGAATTTGAAAACAAACATAAACCGCTCTGTTTTCTATATACTATATCTCTCTCACTCTCACACACTCTCACTCCAAACTCGATTCACAATGGCTTCTCTAACCCCAGGACTAGTCCTAAAACTCCTTCAAGCCATGAACAGCGACACACGCGTCACCGGCGACCACCGTTCACCTCTTCTCCAACTCATCGGAATCGTCCCGGCCTTAGCCGGTTCCGATCTCTTCTCCAACGATGGGTTCTACCTCAACCTCTCGGACTCGCTCAACTCCACCTACGTTCTTCTCTCCCACCCCGATACCGAACTCATTCTCTCTAACCGTCTTCAATTAGGTCAATTTCTCTACGTTGATAGATTCCATTTCAATACTCCTCTTCCTACCGTTTCCAACATTCGTCCTCTCACAACTCGTCACCCGTTCGTTGGATCACCGGAGCCCCTCATCGCTCGAATCTCGCAATCCTCTCGCCATTTCAGCGTTCAGCCTCTCTCCGATTCGGACGATCCTCTTTCTCAGTATCTCTCCACCAATAACACGTCACTCTCTCCAATTCCGATTAATCAACCACACCATCACCAGAAACAACCACAGCCGAGAAAGCCTCTGGCTCAACGAGACAATTTGCCTCCGCCGCAGAGGTTTTCATCTCCGGCTACTGCCAAGAGGTCTCAATCTGCAGGAAAGTTCAACAAACCATCTGCTGAGAGAGATCCTTCTCCAGCTGGAAAGGCCAAGAGATCTTCTTCTCCCGTTCCTTCCAAATGCTTGGTTCCGAGCTTGGTTTCGGCTAGGGAGGAGAATCGGAGGGTTTCAAGGGAGGCGGCTATTATTGTTCCGTCCAGGTACAGACAACCGTCTCCTACTGCAAGGAAGCAGCCCTCGCCTAACCCTAGAAGAGCTTCAATCTCGCCCGGTAGAAGGTTGTCTGGAGGTATCAAGTTTTCTCCGGCCATAGATTCTTCGGGGAAGAAGAAGATTGTAACTGGAATCTCCAAGATATCTGATGCATTGGCTGGGAAGACAAGGAAGAATTGGGATGAACAAAACATTGAAGGTGGTGAATCCAATGAAAAGGAGAAAACTAGGGTTGATTCTAATTCAATTGCGCGTACTCAGGTACATAAATATCCAATTTAAATTCCAAATTTTCTATATATGCTATGAAACAAGAATGGAAAGTTTCAATGTAACTAATGTCATTTGTATTGAAATGTTTTGTTATTGTAGGCTGCTATGTTAAGGCGATTGAGTGATGTGAAAAGTCAAAAATCTGATAACAATGATTCTGATGAGAATACTATAGTTTCTTCTCCTCTGTGTTGTTTGGAGACGGAGAAATCAAAGCTTTCAGGTCTTGGCATTACAATTCATGAGAAGAAATGGACTGATGGGAGTGTTCCGCTGGATGCAGTATCATCCAAACTTTCTAGACTTGCAAAGGTGTGAATTTTGGAAAGTTACCGTTGATTTTCAGGCTTTTATTTTGTAGTGTGATGAACCCTTTTAAAAATGTAGTGTGAATGAACCCTCCTGAGGTAAAAACAATTAAGCAATAAGTGTTTATGCATAGTACATACTAGGATGTGGTAGGTTTATTGATGATATCTCTAGTTCCTAATTAACCAGGATTTTGGTGATATAGCATCTTTGATTAATCTTTTATTGTGAATGCACTCTTTGAAGGCTAATTTGACTAATCTTTTATTGTGAACTGGTTTCAGGATGCAATGCAAAGGAAAGCTCTTGCTTCTGCAGCAGCTGCTGCAGCATTAGAGGAGGCCAATGCTACTGAATGCATAATAAGAAATTTAAGGTAATAACTACCCTTTAACCAGATTTTTATAATAGTCCATTTTCTGTTGAAGTGTTTCAATAATCATAAATTGTTTCTTTACTCAGCATGTTTTCAGACCTTTGCTCAGTGTGCAAAGCCAAAAATCCTTTGCCAACCATAGACAGATTTTTTATCATCTATGAAGATGTCCTAAGATCAATCGCAGTGGCTAAATCTGTTGCCACTGGTCACAATTTTGAGATATTTGATGACAACATTCCAACAGATCAATCAAAATCCCTCTCCCTTTGGGTTGAAGCTGCTTTGGCCACTGATCTTCAGATAGTATCACTGCTTACTGAAACTGGCACAGATACTCCATCATCACTTCAGAAAAGCCTGTCAAAACGACAATCTCTTTGCACACCTAAGAGTCATCTGAATGTGAATGTTTTGTCATCTCCACACACTAGTCCAAGTGGTGGGGTGTGGACCAGGGGTAATGGAATGAAGGAAACAGTCGAGCTTGGAACAAATCTGCTGTCAGAAATGCAAATGTGGTTTCTACTTTTTGTTGAGGAGTCCATTGAAGCAGGATTTAAAGTGTTTGGAGACAGTGGTAGTGGCGGGAAGAAAGCGTTGCCTCTGGATGGTGGCTCCATCGCTATTGTTTTATCTCATTTGAAGCGTGTAAATGCATGGCTAGATGGCGTGGTTTCTAAAGGGAATCATTCATTGACAGATAAGATTGAAAAATTGAAGGGGAAGATCTATGGTTTTGTTATCCAGCATGTAGGATCAACTTATGATCATTCAGCTTCCCATGCTTCATCCTAATTTTATTTTTTTGTTGCTATGTTGTTTGAATGTTGAAATTGTAATGACAGGAAGAGCTTCTTCCATCTTCAAAAAGTATGGCGTTTCTCTAATATCTTCAAAGGGAAGTGATTAGGAATCATTGTAAATTCCAGATTATATTGCATTGAACAAACCATGATGGCTTAATGGTTACATCTAGAGCATGCTTGTTATTTGTCGAATTAGTAATAAATCTATACATTTGCAATGATCCTTTTCTGGTATCAATTTTACTTTTTTATATGTTTGAACACATTTAGAGCATGTTTGTTGTTTGTCGAACTAGTAATAAATCTATATATTTGCAATGATCATTTTCTGGTATCAATTTTACTTTTTTATATGTTTGAACACATGTTTGAACACATTTAGAGCATGCTTGTTATTTGTCGAACTAGTAATAAATTTGTTCTGGACTGGACCTGCTCTTGATCCAACTACCAGTGAGGCCCAATCCAAGCATGCCAACCTGCTGCGCTGAGCGGTATTTTTCCCGAGCACATCCCGACCACAGATGTCTTGTCGACCAAGACTGCTTCCCGTCGGTGCTCGCAGAGACCATCTCTAACGAGCATGCGCTCCCCCCCGAGCACCTTCCACGTAGGGCTGACTTCCAACCTCTCCGGATTTCGCAGAGTCTTCATGGTCCCGGAAAGATCGCGTCTCTATCCTCCCGGTCTTGCGGAGGACGTCATCCAGGTAGGGGGCCACGTGCGGGTTCCCACTACACACGTAGAACCTGACAGTCTCTTTGTTGGGCCTGTTTGATCAACCCAATAAAGAGATCTTGGCCCAGTGCTGGGGCTATAAATACGCTCTCTTCCGAGAGGGTCAGGTATTCAACTCATATCTCAGAACTCATACTTGCTTGCTCATTCCACTTCTTACTTTGCCATGGGAGTGTCTTGCAGGTACCCACCCCCCATCTCATTCAACTTCTGCCTGAGCCAACTGTGACGGTCGATCTCCGATCCGGTAAGATCAGTGGCGTCGTCTGTGGGAAACTTGCTTCCCCGTCTTCTATTCACTTGAGACCAAAGCTAAACAATTCCCGACTATCATGGATGACCAGACTCCTGACAACCTGAACGTCCGTGTCATCGACGTTAATAACATCACCGACAACAATGCCGGTCTCGACAACGCCGGTACAGCTGGCCATAACACAACACCCGACATCAATATGCTTGGGCCTTCTGAATACAGAGACGGAGCAACTGCCTTCGTTATCATCTTTGCCTCACCGACATGAGGACGACCGACCACCTCCCCAGAACTACCAACACGTCCAATTCCACGAGGTCCCCTTCCCCGCCGGGGCAGACGCCACGACCATGGCACTGTTCGCGGCAATCAATCAAACCAACTACCTAATCTTCGTCCAGGGAGAAAGACCGAGGACACTCGAAGACGATCGGAGGCCCCCAAGAAGGCACAAGAGACCTCAATCTCCTCCTCCTCGACAAACAGAGGAACACCCACAATCTCCCCGCGGAGACATAGCAGGGACATCTCTCGAAGCCCGTCACCCCAACCACTCGGGCGACGACCCCCCTTGGAGAGGGAACAACTCGTTGATGCGGGAAGGCGCGATCACGACCCCTCGCGTCAAGAACGAAGACCCCCTGGAGACAGGAACGAGGGAAACCACCAACGGTCATACCGCCTGAGGACCTCTCCGCGCGACCAGGGCCACCGTGGCCGCCACTACGTCAGATCTCCGTCTCGCTCGCCCAAACAGAGTGACGAGAACGACCCCCGCGGTCCCTTGTCACAAGTTATCACAGAGGCACCCATCCCCCCGGGCATGGAGAAGCCTCCCCCACCTAAAGGAGTACGACGGCATCGCCGACCCTGTTGACCATATAGACGGGTTTGAAGCCATGCTACACTATCACAATGTCGGGGGACCGATCAAATGCCGATTGTTCCCCACGACTCTAAGAAAAGCTGCGATGGACTGGTACAAAGGTCTCGCCCCGGGGTCAATTACCTCTTGGCGAAATCTGAAGAACTAATTCATCAGTTCGTTCACTGCTTCGCGACGACACCCGAAGACCGAAGCAGCCCTCGAGGCCATCGTCCAAAAACACGATGAGACCCTAAGGGAGTTTATTGACCGGTTCAACCGGGAGGCCATCCAGGTCCCATGTGCGGACCACATGAAAAGATACCTGCTCGAGAGGGGACTCCTCCCGGACACTGAATTCAGAAAGGTTGTAGGCATCGAACCATCCCAGACATTTGATGCCCTCCTCGAGAAGGCCAGAGCTTATATGGACTACGAGAAGAGAGAAGCGACCAACAGAGCCCGAGATCTCAGGAATCGCGGATCTACCAGTAATCCACGACAAGACACCGCCCATCCTCGACGAACTGGCGGAGAAGAGAAGGGACGACAAATCCCGAGATGCCCGGGAACAAAGGGGGCCCTCGGGGAGGTTCACTGAATACACTCCGCCAACGGCTTCCCGCGAGCGCATCTTAGCGGAGTGCGCAAATACATACTTCAAGGACGGCGGCGTCAAGCGTCCTCGCCCCGCTCCTGCTTAATCCGGGGTAGACCGAAGCAAATATTGCCAGTATCACCGGAGCTACGGGCACTTGATCGAAGACTGCGTCAATCTTAAGGACGCCATCGAGACCCTCATAGAGGGGGGAGACTCGCGCAATATCGGAGAAGCGACGCTCCTCGTCGAGATGCCCGTGAGGCGAGTGAAGTAGAAGAGGATGCTCAACCATCTGACGAGTCAGTTCCCATCCAAACCGTGTTCTCCGTCACGAGACATGAGGACTTCTACGTCCCCGAACATCTGCAAGAGCCTCTGTCTATGCACAGCAGGTGGGAAAACTTCCCCTCCTCCATGGTCATCAACGGTGGAGGGTTTAATGATTTGACCATAAATTCAGCAAAGAGAAAGCTGGACGAACTGGTCGACGCGGCTCCCCCGCAAATGGTGTCCTTCGAAAGGGTGAAAGGAAGATCAGAGTCGATCACCTTTTACCTCGAGGAGCTCCCCTGAGGGCCCCCCAATTCGGCCATCCCTCTTCTGATAAGGGCGAGAATGACCAACTTCGACGTCCATTGCATCCTGGTCGACGAGGAAAGTTCCATCGACATGATGTACAACCAGCTGTTTAGAACTCTGCAGCTCGATGACTCTCACCTTTCACCATACGTGGGGTCAGACCTGTAGGGCTTTAATGGCTCGACCTCTAAGTCGTGGGGGTACGTGGAGCTTATGGTCACATTCGGCGAGGATACCGGTACCAGGCAGGTCAAGGTCCGCTTCCTCGTCATCGACTGCCCATCCCTCTACAACTGCATCCTCGGGAGGCCGACACTGGCAGAGCTGACCGCGGTGCCCTCCACCGTCCACTTAAAGATGAAGTTCTACACCAAGAGGGAACGGGTCGCCACTATTCAAGGCGATCTAGCAGCTGCCCGAAGGTGCTTCAACGCGGTGTCTAAGGGACACAGCACAATCGACACCAAGATACGGCCCGCCAAGAAAGCTACAATTGCGCGATCAAAGCCTCAACGGTCAGAGCCCTTCAGAGTGGGAGAACAAAGGGGCCCTCCAAAGGTCGACTCGATCTTGCTGGACACTCGCTTCGACCAGAACGAGCCCTCCAACGGCGAGACAATTCCGGATGGGGACTTCGAGCTCGTCCCTCTCGGTGAAGACCCAAGCATAGGAGTGAAGATTGGCACTAGACTCCCTGACTTGGCAAGAAAGCAGATCAAGGTCTGCTTGAGGGAAAATGTGGATCTGTTTGCACGGAGTGCTGCGAAGATGCCCGGTCTCGGCCCTGAGGTCTCCTGTCATTAACTCGCCATTGATCCAGCCGCTAGGGCAGTAGTACAACGTAGGCGTAGGTAGTCTCCCGAGAAAGTGGAGGCTGCTGAAAAAGATGTAAAAGACCTCCTATAGGCAAATTTTATTTTTGAAGCCCGATATTCAACCTGGCTGTCAAATGTTGTACTTGTTAAGAAAAATAATGGAAAATGGCGAATATGCGTTGACTATACCGATCTTAACCGGGCATGCCCCAAAGATGCATTTCATTTACCTAATATTGATATGCTGGTCGACAACTCGGTCAACTATAAAATGTTATCGTTTATGTACACCTATTCGGGCTACAACCAAATCCCAATGGCAATAGGCGACAAACACTGCACCGCTTTCATGACTAGCTTGGGCAACTATTACTACAACGTAATGCCATTCAGTCTGAAAAACGCAGGAGCAACGTATCAGCGGATGATGAACAAGATCTTTCGCAACCAAATCAGAGATATGCTCGAGGTATACATGGACAACATGATCTTCAAGTCCCGAGTAGACACTGACCATGCTGCTCATCTTAGGGAAGTCTTTGCCCAAGCAAGGCAATGCAAAATGAGGTTTAACCCCGAGAAGTGCACGTTCAGGGTCAAGGCAGGAAAGTTCCTCGGCTTCTACTTAACAGAACGAGAAATCGAAGCCAACCCCGACAAGTGCTGAGCTTTCTCTTACCTCCATACACCCACGTCGAAAAAATCCATACAAGTCTTGAATGGCATGCTCACCTCACTATCCCGTTTCGTTGCAAAATCCGCTCAACACGCCCTGCCTTTCTTCAAACTCCTTCGCAAGGAGGCAACTTTCGAGTGGACCGAGGAATGCAAACAGGCCCTTCTCCATCTCAAACAGAGCCTCTCGCAGCTGCCCGTGCTACCACAACCCGTCGACGGGGAGACCCTATTTCTATACCTGGCCGTTTCTGTCGAAGTCGTCAGTATGGCCCTCATTCGCGAGACTAACGACGGACAAAAACCCGTTTACTTCATGAGCAAAGCGCTCCAGGGGCCCGAGGTTAGATACCAACATATCGGGAAGGTGGATTTAGCCCTCGTCAATGCAGCGAGAAGGCTCAGACACTATTTCCTCACGCACACGATCGTCGTACAAACGAACCAGCCCGTGAAACAG